ACCTAGAAGCAGTCATGCCCTTCCTTTTTATTTCTTTTTGTTTTTCTCTATTCAGTGGTGACTCTTGAGCCACATTTTCCTTTTATTAAAAATATATATTTCTATGTTTTGTTTTGTTTTTCTAAAAATAACATTTGAGCCAGGCACAGTGGCACACACCTGTAATCCCAGGACTTCAGAAGACAGAGGCAGGCAGGTCTCTGTGAGTTTGAGGCCAGCCTGGTCTACAAAATGAGTCCAGGACAGCCAAGGCTACACAGAGAAACCCTGTCTCAAAAAAAAAAAAAAAAAAAGTTTGATGGTTGTGACAATCCTAGCAGTGAGAGTCCAAAGAAGATAGTAACAATTACCTCAAGGCCTGCAAACCAGAAAGGACCAGCACACAGTTTCAGATATGACTTTACTGGGCTTGTACAAGGGGAAAATGCTGATAAAATAAAGATACTTGGGCAGTGACCGACCATACAAGGGAGGGTAAATAAGATCTGTGTGTGATACATGCGCCCACAAGGGAGAAGCTGTTGTGGGTATAAACATGTTTTTGTTTTGGTGCCAGGTGTGGGATGTGGGGCTAATTCAGATGGTCCTCAGCAGCAGACTATTTGCCTCATTCCGGCTCTGAGAAGAGCTCTTTGTCAGTTGCAGATAGTTTAATTCTGAGGACTCTGGAGAGAAAATAAACACCAAAGCCCAAAGAGTGAGAAGCTGGGAGAAGGAACAAGGCTGCTCCTGCTTCCTCCTTGCTGTTCCTGGTTGCTGTTGTGAAACAAGAAGGTGGAGATCTGAAATGAGGATTGGACTGGCTCCAAGGAACCTGACCACCCTAACTATGAAGAAGCAGCTAAGAATGAACTGCGGCCCCTCTCCCACTAACCCTTTCTCTCTCTTATCTGGTGTAGGGCTGTTGGAAGGGATTGGAGTGCAGTAGGGAGAAAAAGATAAAGGAAATGTAAATAAAAGAGTTTTTGTTTTGTTTTTTTTTTAAGTACGCTAACAAGAAGCCATGTAGCACAGATATCATTCCAAGGGAAAACCTAAGACTGGCTCCCCCCAATGAGCAGAAAACTATGGGACAGGAGAGTTTGTGGATGTTTTGTTTGCAACAGAGCCCAGACTGGCCTCAAACTCTCAATCCTCCTCCTCAGCCTCCTAAGAACTGAGGCTACAGTTAATAAATATAAGAGAATGAGATTAATGTCGCTATAACATCATAATAGGCCCTGTTTAATGAGCTTGTGTGTGTGTGTGTGTGTGTGTGTGTGTGTTCTGAGCCAAACATTTTTCATTAGTGGTCCAATTAATTTTCACAGCAATATTGTGGAATTACTGTTGCCAGTTTACATCTAAGAAGATAGCACCAAAAAATAAAAAATAAAATAATAAAAGCTGCAAGGATCCTCTGGGTGGTTAGAATTTGAATGCAGTTGAGGAAGCCTTTAACTAGGATTTGTGTCGTCCTGAAGACTTCTGTAAAGACTCTGGCATTCAAGGCACTCATAACACAACATACAACCCCCACCTCCATCAGGGAACTTTGCTCACCAATATATTTAAAACCGATCTGAATGTAGTTTGGCAACATATGCCTATAATCCCAGCACTCAGAATTCTGAGGCAGGAGGATTTAGGAGTTCAAGGTCAGCAAGACCCTGACTGAAGAAAATAAGCAAGAATAAAACTAGTCCTACTAGTTTATAATCATAAGTCACACTCAATTCCTAAAATGATTTTGAAAGGTTTCAAAGAACACTAGAAGAATCCGGTTTAAAACATACACCCTGTTTCCCAAGACACCCTCCTCCTACCATTCTGAGAAAGTACTCCCACCTTCTTATCTTAATTTATTAGCCAGATTTGACTTGTGGGAGGGAAGGAGAACAGGATAGAGAAGGGATGTGGGCTAGCAGCAGAGGGGAGAATCCCTCTGAGGTTGTATCACTCAGTCATGGCAGCAGAATGGAAGGAAGGCTGCTCTGGCTGAAGCAGGCTGGGAAAACCACAGAGATCATTACACACAGAACTTGTGTGGAACTTGCCTGTTAGACCAATCTGGCCTCCAACTCAGAACATCTGCCTACTGGAATTAAAGGCATGTGCTGCCACCGCCCAGCTAGAGAAATCCTGCTTTTTATTTAGACCTGATATGAAGGTAATGTAGGCAGAGACCTAGGTTCCAGCCCTGTAGCCAGCTGCCATCAAGCCATCTGTTAGAGCTAAGCAGGTTCCCTGGAGGGTAGTAGGTGAAGGCCTGGCATGACAGGGTTTACTGCAGAGTACAGGGCTAGTCTTCAGACCCCTGGGACCCTAAGAGAGTCAGAACAAGCAGGGTACGCTGGGCTCTGGAAGCCAAGGACTCCAATGTCCACCTGAAGGAGGTCATAGAAAGGTGTGATGACAGAAGCCCTGTCCCTTTCATTTACCTGGAGCTTCTCCTGGTTTGGGAAGTGTGGTTGGAAAGGCTCTCTGCATACTCGATACACTCTCAGGACTTTTCTGACTCACCCAGGAGTGTTTTTGGAGACATGTGGAGCAGGGAAGTGGACAAACTTGAAACATTCTCCCAAGCACTGGACCTTCAGGTCAATGCTGGGGAGGAACCTCCAGGCATCTGAAATGGGAGGCTACCTCAGATTAGGACTGGGCTGCAGCAGAGCAGAATAGCCAACCCAGCAGCGGTCAGCCCCTGAGCCCTGAGAAGGAAACAGCCTACAGCAGCCCTGTAAACCAGGCTCAGTTCCATTTCCACCATGACATCGGAACAGTGGTTCTCAAAGTGTGAAACACAGATCATTTCTGGCAGTATCACCTGCACAGGATCTATTTATAAAGCCTGTCCACCCACTGAACCACAAGCAGGTGCCAGATCCTTACAAGTAATTCTGGTGCTGTTTAGACCTGTAAAGAACCATTCTAAAGCCAGGCATGGTGGTATAGTTTTTTTAAATCTCCGAAGTTCGGAGGCAGAGGCTAGAGAATCTCTGTGAGTTTGAGGACAGCCTGGTCTACATAGTGATGTCCAGAATAGCCAAGGATATGTAGAGAAAGCCTGTCTTAAGTGAGGGAAGAGAAAAGAAAAGAACCATTCTGAGCCCTTAGCCTGGCTCTCACTAAGCCCTGAGCCTGACTCACATCTGTAGGCATACCACCAGGAACATTAAGATAGGGGGTACCATGAGTTTAGCCAACTAAGAAGTAAGCTCTGCCTCAAAACAAACAAACAAACAAACAAAAAACAAAAGCAAAAACCAGAGTCTGCAAGATGGTTCATTGGATAAAGGTATTTGCCTCTAACTGTGACACCTGAGTTTGATCCCTGAGATCCACGTAGTAGAAGAGAACAGGCTCCGTCCAAGTGTCCTCTGACCTCCACATGTATGCAGACACACTGCATAAATGTAACAAGAATAAATAAATAGCCGGGCATGGTGGTGCACGCCTTTAATCCCATCACTCTGGGAAGCAGAGACGGGCAGGCCTAGTGAGCTCCAGGCCAGCCTGGTCTACAGAGCGAGTCCAGGACAGCCAGAGCTACACCGAGAAACCCTGTCTCAAAACAAAACCAAACAAAAATAAATAAACAAATAAATAAATAAATATGAACAAAGAACAATGACTACACAAGCAAAGTATTTTAAACCTTCACATTTTGACTCTAGAGGCTTTTAACACTTAGAAACTTAAAAAACCAGGCTGGACAATAAAGTCTCTGATTCCCTGCCCCTTTTTAACCACGTGAGCTCCAGATGCCAGAGGGCCTGTGGGGAACAGTCTGCTGAAGATGGGCTTCCTGCTGCCTGTGTAGCATTTCCTGTGCCCCGTGCCTCATTAGCACACTGGTGGAGGCGCTTCCTGTCGTGAGTCTTTCCATTCTGCCTGAGTGCTTTGCTGTTTTCACACTGCTCTGAAGGTTGGAGGAAGAAGAGATCCTCAGGGGGCCTCTTGGCAGTTTTTTCCCCTGTGCCCCTCATGTTTCCATCAACGGACAGAAACTAGAGAGTCAACCCAGCCACTTCACACTGGGAACATCAACACCTGAGAGAGAAAGGGCTCTTCTCCGGCAGTGGGCCGTGTGCACCCCCAGTAAACCAAAGCTGATGCTTTTGAGCAGTGTGCGAACTCAGCCTGGAATTTCAAGTGAAGGTAGGGAGATTTGGATTTTATTGTTGTTGTTAGTAATAGCAGTAATATATTCACATATACTGTGTGTGTGTGTGTGTGTGTGTGTGTGTGTGTGTGTGTGTGTGTAGGAAGATCAGGAGAGAACTTGTGGGAACTGGTTCTCTCCTTCCACCATGCAGGTAGTAATGGGGACAAACTTTGGTCATTAAGGCGACAGCAAGCACCTTTTCCCCTGCAGAGCCATTGCACCAGCCCAAAGAAGGGCTGTTGGGAAAAAGTTCTAGAACAGAAGGTTAGAATCTTCAGAAAGAAATAAAAACCAAACATTGTTTTTATCTGCGAGAACTTGGGCGACCTAGGAAGAAAGGCTGGGCGGCTCCTCTGTTGGTGAAGTGTTTGCCTACAGTAGGCAAAGCTCTAGGTTCCAGCCCAGGACTACGTATGTTTAGTGTGGTGGCACACACCTGTAAACCTCAGTACTAAGGAAGCAGAGGCAGAGGATCAGAAGTTCAAAGTCATCCTCAGCTATATATTTTGGCTACCTTAAGATACATGAAACTTTTCATGAATGGCTAATATAGCAAGTCCCAGGCTAGTCTGAGATACAGAAGACCCTAAATAAGTAAGTAAGTAAATAAATAAATAAATAATATCAAGAACAAAGTGATATATTTTGAAAAACATGGGAACTTAGAGAATTTTCTGTCGTCCTATTACCTAATTATTTTTTAAGGTGGTTGTATGCAAAATACATATCAATTTACCTTTTTTTCCTATGAATCAGCAACTTAGAAAGAGCCAGGAAAATTAGCAACCGTACTGCCTAGTCAGTCACGACCCCGAGAAGGCTTAGAAACTGCAGAGCCCTCAGAGGTCCAGTGATGTCCAACACCCTGGCCCCTCCGGAGATCACAAGAAGGAACTCAGAGCCCAGCACTGTGCATGGGACTCTTGGCAGCCTGGAAGGGTGAGTGCTTGGGAAAAGTAAACTCCAGGGTCTTCTGATCTTGTACAGGAATGGTCTTGCCTGGCACTGCTGCCACACTTACATCCCAGGACTGGGCCCACCAGGACCAGCAAACTTTGACCTGAGAGCCATCTCCTGAGCGATGTTTGAAGAGAAGAAAGATATTGAGGCCGATAGATTTCTGACTGAACTTTTTTCCTCTGCCCTCAATCTTTCCAATCTCTTGTCCCACCATGATAGAAACAAAAGTCCTAATTTCCCAGCAATGAGTTTTTAGATCCTAAAGCCTTGTCATTAATGACAAGGGCATAGGATCTTACAGAGCTAAGCATGGACTGAAAATTCACTCCTGAAGTTTTCAACCCCAGATAAACAAAAGTAAAGTGTCAAGTGGAGGTTGAGACGTTAGGAAAATGAGTAGGCGTAAATTTCAGTGCTCTGATCAGAGTAAGACCCAGGGAAACTGTTTTTTGTTTTTTTTTTTTTTGGCGGGGGGAGGGTTGGGTTTGTTTTTTTTTTGTTTGTTTGTTTTTTTTTTTTCCTGTCAGTGTTATTACCAGAGTAAATCAATGTCACTTGCAGGCAAAACATGGATGCTGAAGAGAAATGAGTTTATATCCATTGTTGAAGCCTGAAGCACCCTCCTGAAATGATTTTTTTCTTCTTTTTTTTTTTTTTTTTCCTAATTACATTTTTTGGTGTGTGGGGGGAAGGTGTAGAGGTCAGAGGACAAATTTCAGGAACTGATTCCTTCCTTTTAGCATGTGGATTTCAAGGATCAAACTCAGGTGTCAGGCTTGGTGGCAGGTGCCTTTACCCACTGAGCCTTCTCACTGACCCCTAAAACTCTCTTTTTCACTTGGTAATTGATAAGTAAAAATTATCACTTATGTATTATGGTTAGCATGTTGTTTTGAAATATGAATGCATTGTAGATGGCTTAAGTTGAGCTAAGTACCATATGTATTCCTTGACACTCCTTTTGCATGAGAGGATACTTCAAATAACACTTTAAGCAATGTCTAAGACTACATGATTTTCAACATTGCCAAGTTGAACTTCTTCTTTCCACCTAGCCTTTGACATCCCTGGGAATGACTACCATTTTACTACCCTCTGCTTCTATGAGTTCAGTCTTTTAAATTCTTCATGTGAGTGAGCTGGAGCAGCAGCTATCTGTTCCTAATTTCTTTCACTTAACACTATGTGCTGCAGGTCCATCCACCTCATCACAAGTGACAAGCTCTTCCTTTTTAAAGTTGAGTGGTATCCATTGTATATGTATTTCACATTCTCTCTATCCATTTACCTGCTGATAGACACTCAGGTTAATTCTGTGTCTTGGCAATTGTGAATTTTGCTGCACCGAACATGACAGTACAACATCTCTAACAAACATAGGAGGATAGACACACAGTTTTCATTTGCTTTGAATGTAAATCTAGTGGTGGGGACTGGCAGAGCATATGGTGGTTCTATTTTTAATTTTTGGGAAAATTGCCATAAGTCATTTTCCACAATGACTGTGCTATTCTCCAAACTATTTCTGTGTTCATTCATTTATTACTTCATTCACATATCATTGGACAAATATTCCTGAAGCTTCTGTCAAAGGTGCAGTTTGAGATGGTGAACAGAATACACAAGTCCATGACTTTCTGAGGTTCAGTCAGTGGCAGTGTTTTAGGGCAATCAGATAACCAAACAAATGTATGCTATCAGTCAGCCATAAGTGCTTTGAAGAAGGAATAGAAATGAGTAAGGAAACTGTGAATGATGGGTTTTTAACAGGGAAGATCTCTCTAAGGAGGTGATGACACTGTAGAAGAGACTTAAATGAAATGAGGGACTCAGCCATGCTGAGTACCTGGAGAGGGAGAGACAGATCTGATATAGAACTATTCTTTATATGGACAGGAGCAGGAAGAGGTCGTAGTGGTGAGCATCAGGGTTAAAGGGTTTGGAAATGAGCCTAGAAGTTAATCTGGAGAAGCCAGATCACATAAAAAAAAAACAAAACATAAAAAAACCTCACTGAGTACACACTAGAGATTCATTGTCAATATGAGAGAAAGCAATGGAAGAGTCTCAGTGAAGGAGAGACATGATATGACTTACTCTTTACACTGATCATAGTAGCTCATAGGTAAGCATGGTATGTTGAAGTCAAGAGTGAAATCCAGAAGAACCACCAGGAAGGTGACCACTGCGACAGTCCACCTGGAACTCATACTGGATTATGCTAGGTTGGTGGCAAGTAGAAGAACAAGAGATGACTGGACTTAAAGCAGATGCCCATGCCCAGGGCAAAGCTGATTAATTGAAAGTAAGGCATGAAAGAGCAGTCAATCAGGAATGGTGCCAAGGGTTTAGAGTGTACAGCTAGATGGTGGGAAGTCTAGAGGAAAAAACAGTTTATGAAGTCCAGTTATGGTTTGAGATAACTATTGGACAACCTAAGAGAAGTGGCCAAAATAAAGTTGGATCTGTAAGTCCAGGACTCAGGAGGACAAAAATCTTTCCAGCTTTTAATATTTGGAGTCAGCTGCTTATTCCTACCAGATGTCTTCTGCCTACTTCCTGCTAGAGGTGTGGCTGCTTGATGTTGGAATCATCTAAATACATTTCAACACCCAAGCAGAGCCATGACTGCAGCTCTGCCAGAGAACTGCAAGACTGCTCAGAGCTAGTGTTGGTTAAATTTCACCCAACAGTCTAGTGTTGCTTTAGGGACCAGCTCCACGTTTTGGGGTTACTCAAGTTCATGTAAGTTGGACTCTGTCAAAGAGCCACTCCCATAGTGAGTTGAGTAATCTTCTCCCAGCAAGGCAGGAAGTCCAGGAGCCTGAATGAGGAGGCGCTGGGCCAGGTGTGTTTGGCATTGGAAGTTTGCTGATAATGTGAGAGTAGAAAGAGAATGATCTCTGGGTAATAGCCACCCTAGACTCTTCTTCTGTGTCTGTGCCTTCTGTCCCACAAGGGCTTGGCTATGTTACTCTCCCTTTCTGACCCTTAGCTACACAGCAGGATAGGGGTTTTGTAAAGTGTCATGTGTAGGCCTCCTGGCTCCCTTTTTCATGTGCAAAGTGATAGGTATTCTCTGCTGACGAAATGAGCCAGTTCAAGCCAAATCAAAGTATAAAGGCAAGTTTATTGGGGACAGCTCTCAGGCGCGTTCACTGGCCCTAAGGAATGGGGCCAGGGAAGTTGCCATGCAAACAGGGAGCCAAAGAATGGAGGTGGGAGAGGAAGAGCATTCGGGGGGCGGGGGAGAGAGAGAGAGAAACCAAAATGTCTGGATTATACAGTGAAGAGCCTCTGGGGTGAGGAATCCCAGCATAGAGGGCAGAGTATGGCAACAATGCCCTATAACAGCCAGGGACTGAGAAATGCTGAGAGAATCCAGAGGCCAGGTCCTCTTTAGGCACTTTAGCCACAGGTCTGAAACCCAACACAAAGCTCCTCTCTCCATGAAGTTTCCCTTCAGAGATGACTTTCTTTCTTTTTTTCTTTTATTATTTTTAGTTATGTATACTTGTGTGTATGTGAATGTAGGTTTGAACACTCTGAGGCCAGAGGCTTTGAATCCACTGGAACTGGAGTTACAGGAGTTCTGAGACACCAGTGGGTGCTGGGAAATGGACCCTGGGACCTGCAAGAGCAGCAAACACTCTCAACCATTGAGCCATCTCTCTAGCCCCCAAAGATGACTTTCTCAGAGATGATTCTGTCCCCTCCACCTCAACATCTGTCTTAGTCAGGGTTTCTACTGCTGTGAAGAGACACCATGACCATGGCAACTCTTAAAAGGAAAACATTTAATTGAGGCTGGCTTACAGTTTCAGAGGTTTAGTCCATCATTGCCATGGCAGGAAACATAGCAGCACACAGGCAGATGTGGTGCTGGAGAAGGAGCCCAGAGTTCTACATCCGGATCTACAGACAGCAGAAAGAGAGGCACCTGGCCTGGCTTGACCTTCTGGAACCTCAAAGCCCAGTACCCCTTGACACACTTCCTCCAACAAGACTGCACTTTCAATAATGCCACTCCCTATAGTCTACGGGGGCCATTTTCATTCAAACCATCACAACATCCTTTATCTGGCTCCTATTCTAAATCCTTGTAGTTGCAAGGAAAGAATACAGGCAAGAGACATATACCATTTAAACCAACATTGATTTAGGAAAACTAAACAAAGCAAATACTCCAAAGAAGGATTCTGGTGAGTGCCCCAGGGCAAGGAGCAGCTCAATGAGTAAACTGCTCTGTTGATTTAAAGGAAGCATCTATGAATGAAGTATGTATATGAATGAAGTATATGTGTGAAGTAGGTGGCTTAGTCATGGAGTAAGGTGACCTTTTCTTCTTCCCAAATCATCCAGGTCTCCTTTTTAGAGTATTATTTCCCATGATCCCTACAAAAGGTGGAGGAGGTCAAAACCATAGTGCAAGTGATACTGTTGTGCCAGATTTTCGAGACCCCCAAAAGATCACCATCAGGAGTTGAGTCCATCACAAAACACATGAGTATCTTTTTATTACAAGCTATAGCTCGGGCTCACATACCCTCACCACCATTGCAGTTGAAAGCTGAGAGTGAGAGCCTCCTGCTCAGGTTAGGTGGTTGATTTAAAGAGTCTGGTCCCTCCCAGTTGCCCAAAGCAGGGCGATTCCTGCCTGGCAAGCATCTATTGGTTGAAACACAAAAGGGGGTGTTGCATTTTTGAACTGATTGGCTATAGGAAGGCACCCAAACCATTAATGGTCTGGCTTCCCTTGTTTGGCTGTGTTAGGGGAGAGGGGCCGGTTTCATAGCAACTATATCTCTAGTGGGCGGGAAAGAATGCAGTACGTACGGCTGGTTCTTCCCCACAGGTGGCTGGACATGTCTCCACCTGGCTGGCCTCCATTCAGGCTTGTGTTTTCAATGGGAAAAGTGTTAGAGTTTCAGATCGTGAACACACTTAAATTGTTTATAAAGGTTACAAAAAACACAGCTAAGAACTGATATTCATTCCATTGGATGCAGTTTTACCTGTTACTCTCAGAATGTTGTTTATGTTAGATTTGTTGATATTTACTTTTCTGAGTTTTTTTTTCACATGTATAATCCTTGTGAGACAGTAAATGCTTTGTTCTCATATATTCAGTTGATGAGTTTTTCCCTTGGTCTTGAGATTCCTCACTTTCCCTAATTACTAGACAAATTTTAACTTCTGTCTCTAGTCTGAATTTGTCTCAGCAGATTTTCACCTGGTTGACTCTATTCAGGGATCAGCTATGGACTGCAAGCTGAAATCTGGACTTGCTGGAAGCTGAAGTAAACCAGTCCAGCCGATGTGATGGCTTCATGTCTCTTCAGCTGGATTGCTAATTAGATAGTGCCCCATTGCCCAGCCTTTGGCTGGCATTTCAGCCTTCCTAACCCCTTGATGTTGACAGCCCCATGGTCAGCACTGAAGCAGCTTCAGAAGGAGAGACCTCTGCCCATAATCCCACCTAACAGGCTGAAATGCTAAGTCAAAAGGAGCTCCCTGACATTAGCTATTATCTTGGCAACGTGCTTAGCTGGAGCAGCAGCTGGACAAAAGCCTGAAGAGATGCTGGCAAGAGAGGATTCCAGAGGATGTTTTAAATCCTGGTATAATAGTTTTCCTTGGCTTACTACCCTTATATCCACCCTGATGGGACCCCTACTCATTTTGATTTTTACCTTTGGGCTTTGTATTTTAAATTGCTTCATGGCTTTCATGAAGGAATGCTTGGGATACAGCTAATGGTACTCAGATCCCATTGTGGATAGGTAGATCCGGAGGATACCAGGGGTCATATCTAGAAGAACCAAGATTGGGTCTTCAAATGATCATGGGAAAGGGGGAATGAGAGACCAAAGAATTTTAAAAAAATGGTTTTATTGGGTTATTGAAAGCACAAGCCTGAATGGAGGCCAGCCAGGTGGAGACATGTCCAGCCACCTGTGGGGAAGAACCAGCCGTACGTACTGCATTCTTTCCTGCCCACTAGAGATATAGTTGCTATGAAACCGGCCCCTCTCCCCTAACACAGCCAAACAAGGGAAGCCAGATCATTAATGGTTTGGGTGCCTTCCTATAGCCAATCAGTTCAAAAATGCAACACCCCCTTTTGTGTTTCAACCAATAGATGCTTGCCAGGCAGGAATCGCCCTGCTTTGGGCAACTGGGAGGGACCAGACTCTTTAAATCAACCACCTAACCTGAGCAGGAAGCTCTCAGCTCTCAACCACTATGGAGGTGAGGAAGTGTGAGCCCAGGTTGTAGCTTATAACAAAAAGATTCCCATGTGTTTTGCCACAGACTTAACTCCTGGTGCTGGTCTTTTGGGGTCTCATGAATCTGACACAACAATACAATAACATCAGTTTTTTGAGTGCATGTGTATAGGAAAATGCCTGGGTGCCTTGATTTCTGATATAACAGGAACAACTTAACTTCAACTGCAAGGATGTTTAACCAGAAAGGGAGCATCTGACCATCAGGGGACTCAGCTAAGATCCAGGTGTGGTTTCCCTCTGTTTCCTCATATCTAACTCTTTGCCTATCTGGTATCACTTGGGCTCTCCTTCCTGAAAGAAATGTCTTCTCCAACATTCCCAAGCCCAAATCTTATGGTCACCTGGGGCATGACACCTGGTTTTCCTCCTAGAGAGAAAGGCCAGATCATCTTTCCTGGCTTTGTGGTGCTCCTGGCCATCTTCCTGATCATCATGGCTTCCTGCATCCTGTGGAACTGGAACAAACAGAAGAAGCGTGAGTCCCATGCTTGTCTCCAGTTACACTGCAGTAGGATCAGTTTTCCAGACCCACATTTAAACCCTGGGGTGATTTCTAATGAAATCTAGCTCCCTGGAGTTCTGTGTCCTTTCCTGATGCTCTGGTCCTAAGCTGTAGCCATAGTGTAGATCTGAGTGCTGTTGAGAAGACATTGCTTAGGTGACCTTGTGCCCACATTTCTCTTCCTGCTTTTGTCCTTGTCCTTTAGCTAAATTGGCAATATATCTTTCATGACAGCTGGTGAGGGTGGGGAATATTGCTGGAGACTGTTCATCCTGAGAGTCCCTGTGGTCTGTGTTCTGACACATTCTCCCATTGCCTTTCAGGGCAAGTTCCTTACTTCCATGTAGCTCCATCGCTGACTCTGCCTCCACCCAGACAGCGAGCCAAAAATATTTATGACTTCTTGCCACAGCAGCAGGCAGAGCTGGGTAAGTTTCTCCTAATCTATGGAGTCCTGACTCTGAACTTATGCTTCCAAGATGCACCACTAGCCACTCCAAGTATCCAGGCTGCAGAACAGCCCTGAGAAAGTCTGCACCTCCAGTGGGGACTGGAGAGCTCTCAGCAGAGAATATGGTCAGGTCAGCTGGGCTTGGGGTCTACTTTCTCTTGGTTGTAGGCAGAAGAGGAAAGCCAGTTACATTGTACGTGGGGAAGGCATGAATATGGGCAGCTCTCTACAGGCATGTCCAAGAATGCATCCAGGTCTCAGAGCATCATCCTGTAACTCTGGCCTTCTCACTGCAAAGCAGCAGACATGGATTTCAGGTTCTCACAGGCTTCTTACAACCCCTGTTCGTTCATCTTCTATGCAGAGATAGTTGGGGCTAAAGCGTGTTGAAGCCCACTGTCTTCAGGATTTGTTTTGTTGTTGCAGGGAGACATCAGTCAAGTGGTTTCAGTACTGAGAGCCTCCTCTCCAGAGATTCAGACAGCCCTGAGCATGAGGTAAGAGCCAAGTGAAAAGGTAAAGTCCTGAGAGAATGGCAGAAGAGTGGAGGGGAATGGGGTCTGGTCTCAGATCTGGCTTTACAACAGATAAGTGTCATTTGGCACGCATCCTGCAGAACTTCCTATTAATGAAAGGAAAGAACAGTTTAACTTATGGCTGGTGCACTGCATTCCCAGAATGCAGCACTCAGGAAGCCGTGGGCAGGTTGACAGTTAGAGGCTAGTCTCAAGTACATTGTGAGTTGCAGGCCTAGAGAAGGGTTCGGGGAGGAGTTAGCCTTAGGATTTTAAGAAAGGCACATGCATTCAAGTACATGATGTTAGAACTAAAAGTGATTATTTTAATAAAGACATAACAATTTGTTTACCAAAATAAATGTTTCTCCATCCAGAGTAGATACTCCAGGAGGCCATAGATATTCCAACAATACTGTTTGTGTTCAAACCACATGTAAATCCATCATGTGTGTGTGTGTTCTACTTACTTGTATGTGAGAGTGTTGGATCCCCTGGAACTGGAGTTACAGACAGTTGTGAGCTGCCATGTAGGTACTGGGAATTGAACCCAGGTCCTTTGGAAGAGCAGGATTCTCTTAACCACTGAGCCATCTCTCCAGCCCTGTAAACCCATCCCTTAAAAAATGTTTACACTTCTATTTATTTTATTATATGTGTGTGAGTGTTTTGCCTACATGTATGAATGAGCAATATGTGTGTGCCTGTTGTCCCAGGGAGGTCAGAAGAGGTCATTGGATCTCTTGGAACTGGAATTATAGATGGTTGTGAACTACCATGGAGGAACTGAGAATTGAACCTGGGTCCTCTGAAAGAGCAAAAAGTGCTTTTAACTCCTCAGTACCCTCTCCAACTTCTAAAACCCATTTTTGGGAATTATTTCTTGGGCCTATGCCAAACCATTTCAATTATCCAGAATAGCAAAGATTTCCATAAGTCCTTCAGCATTAAAGGTGACATAAAATGCATTTGGTTAGTGAGAATGTGCTAACCCATTCAGGGCAGTAGATAATGAATGGAAATGTATTTGGCTCACCATTCTGGAGGCTAGAAAGTCAAGGTCAAGGGAATACATCTGACAAGGCTTTCATGCTGTCATAACTTGACACAAGGCATCATATAATACAGGATATAATCAATTTATTAAGATCCCACCATTCTAACTAGTCCATTTCTGTGATAACAACATTATTTGTCTCTTTTAAAAAATTTTTGATATGTCTGTGCTGGACAGTGGTAGCACACACCTTTAATCTCAGCACTTGCAAGGCAGAGGTAGGCAGATCTCTGGGTTTGAGGCCAGCCTGGTCTACATAGTGAGTTCCAGGACAGCCAGGCCACATAAAACAAAAACAAAAAAAAATTATGACACTTCTTACTCATTTATTTTGCATGTACATGTGTGAGGGGGTGTGTCATATGCCTCTGGGGGTCAAAAAAACAACTCCTGGTAGTCAGTTATCTTCTTCCACAACCCAGATCCCAGGGATTGAACTGAGGTCATCCAGCTCAATAGCAGGCACCTTTACTGGCTGAGCCATCTCACTGGCCCAGCATTAAATATCAGCTCTGTAAAGGTCCCACTCTTGGCATTGTTGCAAAGGAACTAAGTGTCCAAAGTGTGAGCTTTGGGGGATGCAGTCAAACTACTGCAGACCCTAACCACTGGCTTATAAACACTGTTCCAAGTGTCCTATGACCTGGCTCTGAGGACAACTCTCAAGGAGTCCACAGGCATTTTGGTCCAGAAACTACCCTAAGATCAGGATGATGGTTTTCATGGTCAGTATGCTTGCTAGAAGTCAGTTGCCGTGAGATAGTGATGATTCTTGGTTCCAAATGAGGATGTTACAGATGGAGAAGCTGTGGTTGGTCAGAAGTTTAGGTTCCCAGGCAGCCACATCACAGTATAGCCTTTGCTTACTCTTTCTTCTATTGGCCTATGACTTCCTGGAGTATCCGAGAAAGGGCAGAGGAAAGGAAACTCCATTGCCAAAGCTTGAGTGGTCCCTGAGGGATCTGTCTTTTTATTTTTAGTAATTTATTTAATTTTATTTTATATGTAAAGGTGTCAGATCCCTTGGATTTGGTGGTACAGACAATTGTGAGCTGCCATGTAGGTGCTGCGAATTGAAAGGACCCAGGTCCTTTGGAAGAGCAGACAGTGCTCTTAATCAGTGAGCCATCTCTCCAGCCCCAGGGATCTGTCTTTTAACTTGTGAATTTTTTTTGGCTTGGATTCTTTAGTGACTGAAAAATGTTTTGAGCCAGGTGGTGGTGCATACCTTTAACCCCAACACCTGGGAGGCAGAGGTATGTGGGATTTCTGAGTTTGAGGCCAGCCTGGTCTACACAGTAAGTTCCAGGACAGCCAGGGCTATATAGTGAAACCTTATCTCAAAATGAATAATAAAACCAAAATAAAACAAAACTAGTAGCTTGGCATGGAGGTTTATGCCTGCAAAAGCACTCGGAAGACTAAAGCAGGATTGATCATCCACAGCTGTCCAACCTGGGCTAGGCAGTAGGTTCAGGATGAATATGAGCAGCAGAGAAAGAACTTGTCTCAAAAAAAAAAAAAAAAAAAAAAAAAAGTGAAGGGATTTCATATTAAAGGTTCACATGCTTTTTCTGACAAGACCCCAGAGTCCAGTAGCCTCCATTTTTAGTGTTCTCCATGTGCTAGCCTCATATATAATACTTCTTTTACCATTCACAAAAACCTTATAACAGACATTGTGGCAATCTCAGCTTATAGACTAGAACATGAAGGCACCAAGGTAAGACTTTCAGACTCACTTAGGCTCAGTGTGAATCTAAGTCTCCATCTTTATCCCATGCAGCATTGCCCCTCCAAGTGTGCTTTGGTGACGTGTACTTTCTCCAGTGCACACCACATTCCTTCCCATGGAGTCCTCCCCCTCCACCATAGCCAAAATCTGTTGTATTTTCACATCCCATTTCAGCCATTATTTTTCTTAACGTTTTTGTGGTAATAAGGGTTGGACCTGGGGCCTTGTATACATGCTACACAAGCACTCTGCAGCTGAGCTACAGGCCCAGCACTGCTTTTTTTATACTCAGTCCACACTTCTCTCATACTCCCAGACATACCTGGCACCCAAAGCCTTGCACTGTGATAGCTCTGAGCTAGAGGACTGAACAAAGGGACTGTAGTGCCAGGTAGTACGTGGAGGGAGAGTGACTGTGTCCCTATTTCTGCTCCCATCTTGTCACTTTCTCTTCTTCTTTACAGACCCCTCAAGCAGATGGTTCCTGCCAGATGCATAGAGCTTATGTTCATGCTGCGGAGTACACAGTAGGCATCTATGACAATGGCACAGTGCCCCAGATGTGTGGGCACCTCACCCCCTCAGCCTATTACATTGGTGTCAGAGCGTCCAGAAATAACTCCAGCATTTCTTCCAAGGAGTCAAATGATTATGTCAATATCCCTACAGCAGAGACCAGTGAGGCTCCAAGTTCCACCAAAAGCTCTCCTGAACATCACCCTGGTCTTCCATGTGCCCAAAAGCTGGAGTTTGCAGAAGGAGGGTCTGTAGGCTGTGGGGATGCCATGGACCACACTGGTTTGTGGGCTTCCAGAACTAAGTGCAGTGATTCACTCAGTGACGGAGAAGATTCATCTCAGACTTCAAATGACTATGTCAATATGACAGGTTTGGATCTTGAGGACATTCAGGAGAACCAGCCCAGGGTGACTTTTCAGTGCTGCAGAGATTATGAAAATGTCCCATCGGCAGATACCAATGAAAGGCAGCTGGAAACTCAGGAAGAAGTGACATCTTCCAATACAGACCACAGAGAGCCTGTCTGGAGGACCCTGTCCTCAATGTATTATATGGCATTTCAGCCATCCACACAGAGTGAGAACACTGAGGGGGCCCATGAAGAACAGTCAAAAGAAGACTTTGATGACTATGAGAATGTGCTAGTTGCAGAGTTAGAAGGCAGGGACCGGGAACAGGGGCCTGCTACTTGCCATCCTTCTGAGGAGGAAAAAGCAAATGACCTAGATGGAAAGCTGTGTGAGGTGGTCTACCCTGCTGGGTCTTTAGCCACTGAAATAGCTAGTGAAGATGCCTGAGTGCCCTAGTGCCCAGTTGGATCCACTTGGCTAGGCTAAGGAGGCTAAGAAGAGCAGGGCACCAGCAGGCTGCACTAAAGCAAAAGTCTAGGAAGCCCAGAGAAGAATTCTTCTCACTCGAGGTCACTGTTAGCTCTCAGATCAACTGAAGAAAGTTTAGTGATACTATCTTATTGGGATGTTAGAAAATAGAAAGGTGCATAGCACTTAGAACTAAGCAGAAGTGTGACATGGTCGAAGATAATCACCTTCACAAATACCAGCAGGCTGCAAAGCAGGAGTGCTGATTGTTTTGTGACCCAGGCAGGGCAAAAGGAGGAACAAGCTGGGGGTAGGGCTGGTGACTTCAAGCTTAAGAAGAGCTGGAGAGGGTGCAGAACTACAGGAGCTGGTGTGATTGCAGATTGGACACCTGCCATACAAGCTGTCCATTTCATCCTTAAGAATTGAAACTACTTTTAATGCATATTGGAGTTGCACAATAAGTTAATCTGTTGTAGATAAGGAGGGCCAGATTCCCTTTAAACTGCTTTTATTTTATTAACCTGACTTAAATATGGCCATTTTCATATAAGCATATAATATACTCAGAGATATCCACTCTTTCCCTTTTCTCATTCCTTCTCCTTCCCATGAGACCACTGTATTCCCCTAGTCAGTCTCACTTCTACTTCCCTGCCATCTGTACACATATGATTTTTTTGTATCTATATAATATACAGGACCCACTAATGCTAGGAAATGTGATATTTGTTTTCTTGATCAGTGTGGTACCAACTGTGGTCAGATAAGTGTGGTTTTAATTTGCATTTCTCTGATGACTAGTGATGGTAAATACTTTCTTCATGTGTTTATTGGCCATCTGTACTACTTCATCTTTTGAGAACTATTTATTCCTCTCATCAGCTTTATGAATGAATGAAGTGTCCACTAGGATGACTCAGAACCTAAGCAATGCCACACAAAGAACCCTTGAGCACACTGAGCACACAGATCCTGGTCCCCAAGCACTGCTCTCCAGGAGAAGTAACAAGAAATTGCTGGAGAAGTGGCTGTTTCTAATGCTGCTTGTGCATCTTGTAAAAGGAAGAAGGGTAGAAGGTAGAAAGGGAGTAAGAAAGAGAGAGGCAGGGAGAAAAAGAGAATGTCCAAAGGAGCCAGTGCAAAGAGTTTCCAATTCTAAAACCTGGAAAAATCTGGGCAATGAAAAATAAATATTTGCTGATTAGTAGTTCACAGAACAATAACTCACTAAATAAATTCCCATAAGTTTGTGCCAAGGGTGAATAAGTAAATCCACTATGAAGAAAGAATGTGTCTAAGCTACAGATAAATTCCGAATACTGAGTGCAGAAAGGATGAGGCAAATAGCCAAGTGGCTACTAAGCACCCAAGAACAATGCTGTGAGCAAGCCCTCTGACAAGTCTAAGATTAGTGAGTGACACTCAGAGGCAAGACCACAGAACCTTAGAGAATCTTCCCTAAATATTTCTTCAGTAGTGTGGTGGCTTTAACACATGTCCACTATAAAAATAACTGTTTTTCAGGGAGTTTGCTATACCACCCCTTTGCTCCTAAGTATCTATTTGGGTTTTATACCCCACTTCTGACTGTTTAGTTCCTGAATAAAAGACACAGAGACCTTTTAGATTTATAATAAGCCTTAAATCACTAGAGCTGGGCAGATATCAATCTTCTAAGCTATTTCACTGTTTCCCAGCTACACACTCCAAGTTATTTGCCGTAAATGTGCCTGCCTGGGCTGCTTCTGTTCCATCAGGCCAGCCTTCATGGTCATGTGCTCATGGTCCATTCTTCCCTGTGGCAACTTCCTTCTTCCCAGCTTCTTCTCTTGCTTTCCTCTCTGCCTCCTCGTGGTCCCCATCTGACTCTAAGCCTAGGAACTTATGTTCTGCCAGCTATAAGCTATCTAGACTTTATTAACAAATTAACTTTAGGTAGAGCAAAGTTTATATAACAAAGACCAGTGTATGTGAGGATGTACTGGTCTCAACTGCAACTAGATCTTGGGGGCCAGTATTTTGTATTTGAATACATAGCACCAGACCAAACCCCAACACTCCACAAACTTTTCCATAATTCTGCCATAGATTAAGCTTTATCCCCCTTTGATACAGGCTGCATATAATGACTCATTTCTAATGTTGAGAATATGAAAAGCAGAAAATACTAAGTTTAAGTGGAAAAAAATGATAGATACCACCTTCATCAAGTGATCACAGTCAACCCGACAGCAATAAGTCACAATGATGTCATGTGTGCAAAAGGACACCATCAAAAATTCCATAATTCTAGCCTTATCGGAAATCCAGAGCTGGAGAGATGGCTCACTGATCTGGAGCACACACTATTTTTGCAGGGACCCGAGTTTGACTCCCAGCATCCATGTCAAATGCTCACAATTGCCTTCAGCTCTAGGGAGATCTGAAGCCTTTGGCCTGCTTGCCTGCTCAGTCACATACCTACACACAGACCCACACATTACCACATAATTAAAAACAACAAATTAAATCTTTTTTAACTTTTATTAATTACACTTTATTCACTTTGTATCCCCCCATAAGCCCCTCCCTCCTCCCCTCCCTATCCCACCTTTCTTCCCCATTCTTCACTCATGACCCTCCCCATGTCCACTGATAGGGGAGGACACCCTCTACTTCCTTCTGATCTTAGTCTATCAGATTTCATCAGGAGAGGCTGCATTGTCATCTTCTGTGGCCTGGTAAGGCTGCTCCCCACTCAGGGGGAGGTGATCAAAGAGAAAAAAAAATGGGTGTCTTTGCACAGATGTGGTACCAAAAAGGATTGAGAAAGCATCACAGATTGATGGAAACTAAGGATCAAATGTGACATGGTACCTTGAATTGGGTTCTACAAGAGAAAGTCAGATGAGATTGCAAATGCCCATATTTTAGTCAGCTATATTGTGTTTGTGTTGGAGTTTTCAGCTTTATGGCTATAAAATGATGATTGTATAAGTTATCAATACTAGAGGAAGAGAGATATAAGATGTATGAGAATGCCCCAAACTATTTTTGTAATTCTGTGAAGTCTAAAATTATTTCAAAATAAAAATAAATTTAGCTGGGCATGGTGGCACATGCCTTTAATCCCAGCACTTGGGAAGTAGAAGCAGGCAAGTCTCTGTGAGTTTGAGGCCAGCCTGGTCTACATAGTGAATTCCATGATAGCCAGAGCTACATAGTAAGCTAATACCTCAAAAAACCCAAATAGATAAATAGATGGATAGCTAGATAAATTTAAAGCCTGGATTTGATAGTTAGGGTTTTCTAAAGGAATAGAACCAACAGAATGAATATGGATTGCAAAGGAGACTTGTTTGATTGGCTTACACAATAGGGGTTGGGTAGTATAACAGTTGCTATCTGCACTCTGGAAAGACTGAGAACTTGCCACTCAGCCCAGTGTCTGGAAATGGTGCCAAGAACAAGACATGGCCATTGCACACTAAACTCACAATGACCATGGCATAATGTTATTGTGCACCGTGTAAAGATTCAAATATTGATTTCTATGCCCTCATATTTGGTTATAATTCTTGTTTTGAGAATCTGCTGTCTCAGTGTTGTATAAACATTGTTTCCCAATTGTTCTCTAATATGTCAATAAAGAAGTTTAACAGCCGATGACTGGGCAGGGGAGAGAATAGGGGTGGACTTTCTGCCAGCCAGGGGAGGAGGAGAGAGAAAGAGAAATTGGGGATTCAGCCATGAGGAGAGGTCTAGGTGACATCATGAAGAGAGCAGCTGGAGCTCAGAAAGAAATAAAATGCAAGTATCTTGGGGATTTACACTGGGAGAAAGCCAGACTGGTTTGGAGAGTTAAAATAGATTAATACTGCTCAGTTCTTGTGCCATAAAGCTTGTTAAATATAATAGTTCAGTCTCAATTATTTGGGTGCCAGCCAAGTTAAGATAAAAACTGCAATACAATTAAAAAAACAAAAAAAAACACTAACACTATGGTTACTTAAACACAGTCAAGCCAACAACATAAAGGCAACATTCCAGCAAGCAGCACTAATTGAACTGAGTGGATTCCCACCCAAAAAAAATATTTTAAGAGAGAGATAAAAAAAACAAACAAACAAACATGAAGATAGAAGGGAGATATGTCACCATGTATATGCTGAGAATTGAAGCAAGTTCTTTGGGAATTTTTTTTTTTTTTGAGACAGGATCTGTTGTTATAAATAATGAAAATCCCAAATGTTCCATTTTACCAATGAAGACCCAGGAGTCAGATGCTGGGGTGAAAACTTGCTACCTCAGAGAGGCAGAGAAAGCACCACGCTGACCTTTCTACAGCACACATCCCAGAAGGAAAAAGTTATTTTTCTTTCTCCATGCTATTTTAAATACCCTTCAATTTAATTTCTTCTCCTTTCTACTTCCTGTGTGTCTCTCTGTCCTCCTGACTACCTATTACTCTCTATGGGTTTTTTTTTCCCCTTATGTTCATTTCCTGTCAACTGGTTACTTGCTCTACCTCTTGGTTTAGGATTAACTCTATTTAATCCTCTTTACAGAAAGCTCTTGGATTAAAAGTGTGTGCTAGGCTAAGACATACCACAAGTATTTGTTTACAGTAACAGAAAGCTCTAGGATCAAATAACTTGTATATACCCAAAATGAACTTGCTGAGAAAGAAATTAGAAAAAAAAAAAAATTCCATTCATGACAGCTTAAAACAAACAACAACAACAAAAAAAAAAAAAACAAAGAATAAACCTTCCTTAGCAATCAAAGACCTCTACATTGAAAACTTCAAGATGATAAAAAAAAACCTGAAGGAAGGAAGACACAAGATATATTCCTGGATTATCAAAAATAATACTGTGAAATCAATACTATCCCCATCAAAATTTCAATGAAATTCTTCAAATAGAAAAAAAAATTCTAAAATTCATGTTTCTGTACAAATCACAGGCAACTAAGGAAACCCTAAGCAAAAAGAACACTATCAGAAGCATCAACACACTCCACCTCAGAGGAGAATGCAGTGTTGTACTGACAAACACA